AGAGAGAGAGAGAGAGAGAGAGAGAGAGAGAGAGAGAGAGAGAAGTCAAAATCTCCCTATTGCCCCTCATATTTAAGTTTTTAACCTTTTCCAGGCTCCATGATTTAAACGGAGATAAAAAATTAGATGGTTTGGAGTTGCTTGCAGCCATGAATCATATAATGGACAGAACACAGGCTGCACACGAATCGTTTTCTAAAGAAGACCTTGAGAAACATCCCAACGTTCGACAATCCCTCCAGACTTGGTGGAATGATAAGTTCGAAGAAGATTCTAGTAAGTGATTTATCTTACAAGGGGATCTCACTAATTCTTATTCACAGGGTAACGCCACCAAGCTACCCTCCTAGAATTCGATGAAAATTTTACAGGTATTCGAAGATTGATAAAAAAAAATCCTTAGCCTAAAAATTAGCTGCCAAATTAACTCTGTAAAGCTATATATAAAAAAAAATAATTGGCATTTTTTAATTCCAACGGCAATTTTGCGTGACAAGAATACAAAGAAAAACATCGATTTCCGAAATCAAGTTATGTTTTTATAAAGTTAGTTTAAATTTGTTGGAGAGTTATTTTGCATTCGAAACTATATGGAATCTTATTTAATTATACATTTAGCTTTTCGTAGTGCATTTTGTGTTATTCTTTAACCCTTTGACGCAAATGGGACACTGGTTTCCCTTTTATAGATGTTTATCATGACACTCTAATGCCAAGCAAAAATATTGTTTGGTATTTTTCAATAACGAAAAGCAGTATAATAGTTACTAAAGAATCTCTTAATTATATATGTGTACTAAAATATAAAATCCAAATGAAGTAGTTAGAAAAAAATATTACGTATTCATGTTTAAAAATGTATCAATAATTAATTTTCTAAATTAAGGAAGTTTCAATGAGGAATAACTCTGTTTCTTAGATCTAAATAGCTGCAAATAAGGGCAAGTTTGAAAAATTATTGATTGAAAGTGAGCCCTATTACGAAAATTTTACATTTTTTGCAGAAGAAAGACACCGGCGTTTCAGGCTGTATTTCATAACCATAAATTATTAAAGTACTAGATATAATAATTTTTACTTGTTTTCACCTACATTAATATAAAATAATAAAATAAGTATGAAAAATATTTTTAATAGAACTTCTGCGTTAAAGGGCTAAAAGAAGTTAAACGAATTAGCAAGAGGCTGTAATTTTTTTGCATTGTTTCATACTTAATAGTCGTAAGTCAGTCTTACTATTTTTTTTATGATTAGTTGACGAAATTAGCTAGACGCCTTTTTTTTTACATTGAAAAGTTTTGTTAGTGGAATTACTTAATTTTCAAAACTCGATTTTTTAAAAAATCTTTTTAATAATTAGTGGTTTTACAATAATGATATATGTCATAACAGATAAATATTTTAAACATGGTGTGAATGTTTTATAATGAAATTTCTATTCAGTATTTTTAGTTTTCAAAAATAAGAAAATCGTCAAATTTTAATAACTGTTTGATTTTGGTAACTATGACCCCACACACCTATAAAAATTTCATTGTTATTCTATGGATCTAACGTGAGAACGCTTCCTTGTAAGCAAATTGGATGATATTTTGTTAACGGATGCTCAACAAATCACTGAAAATTTTGATTTTGCGTTATTAACACGTTCACGCCGGGAAAAGAGAAAATACTGGTAAAAGAACTATTTCAATATTAGATAACATTCGGGAGGAGCTAATCTATTCTCAACAATTCACTGTAAGGAAATTTAACACTGCGAAGAAGCANTTATTAACACGTTCATGCCGGGAAAAGTGAAAATACTGGTACGGGAAAAGAGAAAATACTGGTAGAAGAACTATTTCAATATTAGATAATATTCGGGAGGAGTTAATCTATTTTTAACAATTCACTGTAAGGAAATTTAACGCAACGAAGAAGCAATTCAATATAAAAATTGCATCTGTTAAAAACAATTGGTAGTTATAGATTTTTATTATTCCCGAAAAAAAACTAAAAAATTAAATTTATTGTTACCAGTTTTTACTCCGGTGGGCTGCCAAGATGAGACAATCTAGCGTGACCCACCGGTGGGTCACCCCGCGTGAACGCGTTAAATAACTATTTTTTATTTTGTAGAACATTTACTTAACCGGTTAACGCCCGGCGTCATATATTTAGGACAGTTCCTATTTTCAAAGACATTCATTGTGGTGGGAAACTTTTTCAGTATTTTCATTTATCTGGGTGAATTAAAGGATTCTCAGATACCACAATGATTTAGTTATTTCTAATTAGATCTAGAATTCGAATGAACAAGTACTTTTTGATCTATCAGAGACTTTTTGATTGTCTTAACAGAAGAAAAACCAAAACCATTTAATTTCGATAATATATTGTACCACTTTTTCCATAAAACCACTTTTTGTTTCATTTCAATTTATAAATTCGGGACAAAACGGGTTAATGCGCATTTTGGATTCTCATCATGCTGTTTATAGAAAAGTTTACTTCAAAGCATAAATTCTTCTATATCAAGCATAAAAAGCAATAAATTTTTTTTCAGTTCGTTTTGAAGTTTTCTTCAGTTTTCGTATAGTTGGAGTAAATTTTTTGGGGGCAATTTCGCCTACTTTTGGATAATGTGTGTGGCCCCTTAAAAGTTGACAATTCACCTATTTGTTGGGCATATTTTGAAATTGATTAAAACCATTAATGCCCTGCCACAAAATGTAAACTAAAAATTAAGAGCACCTATACGAAATGAAGTGTCAATACTTATTAATTTTTAATTCTCGGTAATTTTGCCATCATTTTAAAAACCTCACAAAGAACAAGTTGCAAAAAAGTGGGCTTTGCGTAGTGTTTTTAATCATGTGCATGTAGTGGTGTAGAAAATAGCTTAAAATCTAATTTAAAAATAATAAAATAATAGTAATAATAACAAAATAATCATGCATAACTTAGCTGCCAATCGAAGAAATTTTCCCAAAAAGTTGGCAGACCTGATGTTTATTCGAAACACCTTCAATTATCATCAGGCAATACAATTAATTTAGATGCGTTGTGCAACTGCTTGTCTCGAAAGTATTTTTCCAGATTTTGACATGGAATTTTTCCTTTGCTAAGATAATAATTTGCACGATCTTCAATGTCTGTTTTCATTTTTACAAGAAATACAAACGTATATTTTAAGGACGATCATTGCAGAGCCCACAGTATCCTAACCAGTTAAGTTCGTTTGACGTGTAAACACGTTGGACCAAATCTCTATTATGGTACGCATGACGCGTATACTCGTGGTTTAAAAGAAAAAATTATCATTAACCATCAAACCTTGAAATTTCTATGAAATACAAATACAATATGAATATTATTGGGCGGAATGTTTTATTTATGTTACCATTAGAACTGTTAAATATTTTATACTGTAGGGGGATGAGGAGCCCGAAACTAACTATTGTTAATTGTAAATAACTTATATGTTAAAGCTGTTAATGAAATATTGGAAGTAACAGTCCAGCACCATCACCTCCTACATCAAAAAGCCTCCACACGGTCTTTTATAAGTAGTCCACGCAGACTATTTAAAAAGGGAACCCAAAACCTTTTATAAAAGTAATTGAGAGAAATTCATCATATAAATTTGTGAATTGAATCGGTAGTGGTTGACAAGTGAATAAGGAGAACCAATAATATTCATAAATAAATAAAAAATTTAGTCATATATTTGCTACCACTTTCTTATTTTAACTAGATTTTGTATTAAGTGACTCAATCTGACAGTGGTTATCCTTTACAGTGGTCTAATCGGACTACCTATAAAAATACGTGTGGAGACTTTCAGTTATAGGAGGCGTTGCTTAATTTTAATTCCGCACCCTGTGAAAGATTTCAAAAATTAGAGTCAGCGCTTAACTAGTTAAACTAGAAAATTACATTTCCATTTTTCATTCTGATAGATAAGTTAATCGGAATTTAAATTTTTATTTCAGAATATATTGACGAAATTTTAAAAGAAGAAGACCAGGATCAAGATGGATTTCTCACCTATTTGGAATTCGCCATTGGCCGTCAAAAAGAAAGACAGAAAATTGGAACTTAATTTTTAAACATTGCTAAAACATTTAATCATCAATCAATCTCGAAAATTTTTAGGAATTTAAAACTGTCATCATATGTTACCTTTGAGTCATTGTTTGAATAAACTATATCTTTCATTATAAGGGTTGTTAAGTGTGCTTGTTTTTGCAACAATTTGCATGCAAAGCCATACTCCTAAATTACTCCGATATTCTCGTCACGCTAAGGTATCTTCTAAATCTTATAATAATTCAATTATATTGGAATGAAAGCATCGAGACTATTGTATATAGCTGTAATCTTAAGCATGTTTATAACCATTTTCTTTCTTTCTTTTTTTTTTTTTACAAATAAAAGTTTCTTTTTCTTTTATATTTTACAATGCAATTTTTTTTAACCCTTTTGCGCCGACTGTCACAAATACGTGCCAGCATAACACCGTATCAATCAGTGTAAAAAGATAAAACTGGTAACCAAAGTAGTTCTTTAGCAGTTTACTTGTGGGCGAGGTTATAATTGTTTGATTTACTTAATTCACCATTACTGTAGTTCAAAATAAAATTATTTAGTTATACTTTGAACTAACATTGATTATATAGGGGAGAGGGGGGCACACGTGAACATGGTATGCTTTACCAATATGATTTGAAATAAACAATCTCGAAAAATTTTCAAATGATGGCAGTACTAGTCCTACCCGTCTGCAAAACTTTCAGAACAATGAGACATTTTGTTGTTCTATTCTGACAATTTCTTTGTATCAGTTGGTGTTGTGCACATTATAATCACTCGCTTCTTCAAGTGAAAGCATAGTATAAATCAACTAATAAACTAAAATTAACTATTGCAGATCATTATATGAACATTCAGGTAAGTTTATGACAATCATTTTTTTTTTACTCAATTANATTATAATCGCCCGCTTCTTCAAGTGAAAGCATAATATAAATCAACTAATAAACTAAAATTAACTATTGCAGATTATTATATGAACATTCAGGTAAGTTTATGACAATCATTTTTTTTTTTTACTCAATTAAAAATTCTTTATTTTTCAAGTTAGGTTTAAGAAGGATGATGGGGCACTTGTGAACAAAACATCTGGGGCAAATGTGAACAGTTCACATGTGCCCTACATAGTATTAAGATTATTATCCTCATGATATTATAAGTTTATAAAATGTGCTTGCATTTAAAATTAGTATTATTTAATTTTCCATAATTAATTTATTGTTTTTTTCATTAAATTTTTTTTATTTTTTATTAAATGGTTGATCGCGCATCACGCATATTAACTGATACACCTGAGAAATATAGAATTGCTAAAGCTACAAATGAAAAGATAGAAAAAATGAAAAAAAAGCATGAAAGAGTATTAGAGAAGTAAGAAAACAACTCTTGGGGAACATGAAGTTGCGAAAAATCTATCAGAGGAACAGCTGAAAAATTATTTTCGTAATGACAGTACTGTTGTACAATTTAAATTCACATAGTAAGCTACAACCCCTTCAGTATAATGCGTATCTATATCTGTTACATTAAAAATTCTTTTCTTTGAAATATGATGATTGCTTTGTCTTTTTAAACTTGTTCATATGTGCCCCAGGCATTTTCACATGTGCCCCCAATAAGGGCACATGTGAACAATTGAAGTCATTTTTCTGAAATATCATAAAGTAAAGAAATATTTTATTGAAAAATCTCAAAAAATTCCATAAGACAAAAAAAAAGACTATTTAAACATATGGACTTCTTTACTGTGAAAAACGTATGATAGTTTTTTTTTAAAAAAAGAAGAAATAAAAAAATTTGTTCACATGTGCCCCCCTCTCTCCTATATGATTAAACTAACAGTAATTAAAGTAAAAGCAAAGTAAGTCTGTTAAATTAGCAACGCCTACATTTAAGCTACCGTTTTTTATTTGTACGGATGCTTTTATGAATCACCCGTCCCCAAAGGGTTAAGTCTAACTTTAGCTTTATTTGTACTTGCGTATTATCCCGTCGACCATTTTTGCAAATCTAAAAGTAAATTTAGAAGTATCTCAAACTTAAATATTTCCTAATTTTTTTTCTTTTCTTTTGCAATAAATTATATTTGTGTGTTGTCTATTTCTGCGATCAATTACTACGTAAAAATTAATTTGTAAGATACCGTATTGACTTAGACATGGTGTTAGCGAAAATGATCGATGGAATAATACATAAGTACCGTTTCATGACGTTGTTTAAATTTGTGTTCTGTCCGAACTGCAAATTTAAACAAAGAAATATTCACCCGTTACCGATACTAAATCTTGACGTATCTTTCCACTTTTTAGCAACAATTAATTACTTCCTCAAATCGTCACTCACCAATGGAATAACATACACAAACTATTTCCTTTCCCATTTACGCCATTTTTTTTTTATATTTTGTCATTGCTCACCAATCTGTGAATAACGTCTTTGACACTATCGAAGTAACTTATTACGGAGTCCATCCAGGCGAACCTAGAAAAATGTCGATTTCTGTTGTTACAAATATAGTTATGAGCTCCAGTAGGAAGCGAGATGTTCAGATGAAGAACAAAATTGGGAAACCAGCGAACCCAATCACAGAGATTGGCGAGAAACTGATTGCTTCCATTTCGTTTCCTTTCTTTTTTTTCTTCTTCTTCTCTTCTTTTGGTTCAGCCTTATAGAACGTAGTTATTACGCAAAAGAAACTTTTGGTGTGTCAAGGGTCCATTAGATTCCTCCCTCGCCCCCCTTTTCTTATTTCTAAGGGTGCTTCCTTTAGGTTGCAGGGTCTCTAACAAACTAAAGAACAGACTTGTGTTATCCTGCTTCGAGGCAAGGTTGACAAGTTATTACAAAATAATGCACTTTTGTAAGGCACTTTCTCTAAAAGAAAAAACAAGTAAGAATAAAGGTGGATTTTCTTCGGTAGAGAATAAATATTGAAAAATGGCACCGTATGACTTGAAATATTTTTTCCACACTAATATATATTTTGGTTTCGTTTTGATGAATACACAAAGAATATTTTAATTTTAAATGGTGGATATTTTTTTTTCGTGTTCTAGAGTGAATCTGTGTTAATTTAATGGAATATATTTTTCTGGTTTTGATTATTCTATCTGAGATATATTAATGTAATAATATAATTTAACCCTTTCGGGCCGACTGTCACAAATACATGCCAGCATGAAACCATATCAATCAGGGTAAAAAGACAAAACTGGTAATCAAAGTAATTCTTTAGCAGTTTATTTGTGGGAGGAGTTATAATTGTTTGATATATTTAATTCCCCATTACTTTGTTCAAAATAAAACTATTTAGTTATACTTTGAATTAACGTTGATTATATATATGATTAAACTAACAATAATTAAAGTAAAAGCAAAATATGTCTGTCAAATTAGCAACGACTACATTTAAGTTACCATTTTTTATTTAATTACAACTTGATTCTGATTTTGTACGAATGCTTTTCTGAATCACCCGTCCCCAAGGGGTTAATGGACTGTATGTTCAGATGAGTCTGTGTTTAGTCAGTCTCTATTTAACACGTTCACGCGGGGGAAAGTGAAAATACTGGTGGAAGAACTATTTCAATATTAGATAATATTTGGGAGGAGTTAATCTATTCTCAACAATAACAATTCACTGTAAGGAAATTTATCACGGCGAAGAAGCAATTCATTATAAAAATTGCATCCGTTAAAAGCAATTGATAGTTATGGATTTTTATTATTCACGGAAAAAAACTAAAAAATGAAATTTATTTGTTACCAGTTTTTACTCCGGTGCGCTGCCAAAATGAGAAAATCTAGCGTGACCCACCGGTGGGTCACCCCGGCGTGAACGTGTTAAATATTGTTCTTTGACCCCCCCGCCTCTTCCTGCTCACATCTCCTTCATAATCGAAAAATCTCTATTTTAGGACAACTGTATTTCTATTTAAAGAGAAAATTTTTTGATGTGAAGAATAAAAATAAAAAAATTAACTTTTTTATCGAAACTAGTCGATTTTTTGGGGGGAGAAAATAAGCTTCGTTATAAGAGGAGAGTGTTGTTTCGCTATAAGATATTTAATTAGAGAATTTGTTCAGCTGTAATGATGACATTTTAACAGCTTATTTAAAAAAAATTCAGATGAAATTTACGAAGATATCAGGGTTGCCAACTACTACGCTTTCGGCAAAATATTTTATTGAGTGGTAGACATTTAAAAACTAAAACTGACAGAAGGTTTGGTAATTTTGCCAACAATTTAATAGTTTTACATACCTGCCAACTTTTAATCCTTTCGACGAGGATTTTTCCCAGTGGTAGTAAAATGGAATTTAAATTACAATTTTATGCGAAAACATACGATGTTATTTTGGGAAGTTTTTGCGGAATGTAAAAATAGTATTATATCAATATATATGCTTAATTTTTTAAAAAATAGTGGTGGTCAAAAAGAATATAAATCAAGTTTATAAATGCAATGAATATATAGAAAGCTTACATTTTACTACCACTTTAAATATCGAAATAAAATTTTACGCCAAATGCCTAAAAGTTGGCAGGTATGGACCACGAGAGAGATAAATAAAAGTGATTTCTTATATAAGCTTTCGAATCAATTACAAGTAGTGGCGTGAAAAATGTCTTTCAACTCAAATTTCTAAAGGAAAGAAACAAACATTAAAGCATAAACATAGCTATAACTAGAAGAATTTTTTTTCCAAAATCGTAGAAAGTTGGCACACATGAGATATTATTTGTGAAAATGACAATAATAAATGAAGATGTAGACAAAAAAAGCCAATGAATCTTCTCTGCAATCTTATAAATAAGCAGCTGTTGATACAGATATTTATAAGATAAATTATTTCAGCCAATATGGAAGATAGTTTCTTTTATGTGTTTAACTTGAAAAATTAAGTGATTAATATAAGACCACAATTGAAATAATAAAAAAAAAATTTTCTTTACATTTATTTTATTTTTATACTATTTTAATTTTGTTATTCTACTATATTCTTTTAATAATGTAGTTTATGCGCTTAAAAACTAAGTAAATGCCTTTAAGTTTTAATTTATAAAATTTTTCATACGTTACCTTTGCTACTACTAAAAAATTAATTTCTGAAAATACGGTAGTTCCGT